TTATAGTTGGTATAGAGTGTTCAGTATCTTTGGTGCTTGTTAGTTTGTCACCTGACAATTTAAATGTGTACAAATTCTGTACAAATTCGTCTAATGTCTCTGGCTCCTTCAGGTATATGTTGCAATCTTAAATTTTCATGCAACAAATATTCTTTGTGGTATATATTGTTCAAATCTTGTCCGTCTAATCACAATAAATTCTTATTAAATATTAAAATATTACAATAATTAACATTTAAAATATTAAATGATGTTCTTTATCGAAATATTCGATTTACATTAGACCATCATTTTTCACGACATGTTTCAGTTCCTAAAAGAACTATCTTCAGGTGTATAAAATTATATAAAGATTCAAATCAATAATAACTTAAACACAATTTCTATATATTATTTTAGCGTACATTTTTATCAGATATCAAACGATGTTCTTTTCCAGATTTTATTCCATTTTAATAACATATTCGATGTTCTGTATATGTACATCATGCTCAATATGACTTTAGTGTGGGTGAACGTTTTTTGTTGTTTTTTTTATCAGCCAGAAATGAAAGTTGTAGAGGAGTTACATCTGTCTGGAAGTATTGCCGTGTTTGAACTCTTTGTGGTGTAAATAAGTTTGCCTGTGCTCCCTCTACTTTATTCATTTGGTTAGGAGGTTTCTTAAATGCCGGTGCTGTTTGTACCACTAAAGTTTCGTGCGTTACATTTACCTAAAGGCATGGGAATGTGATATCACATTCTGTTACACTAGCAGCACATATTAAACCTGGTTGTAACAATTGTTGTTCAATATACCTAACTCCTTTTTCCCTCGTGAAAAATTTAACTAATGTCTCACTATACGGAGATACTATGATATTTTTCATTAACGTATAATAATTTTCCAAAAGCCAATCTTGTCCTAATATTACACCAACATGACTAGGCATTTGCTCGACTACGTAATATTCTGATGTTATTGTTTCCGTGCAGTTTTTCAGTGTTAAAGTAACTGTACCTTTAATTTTAACTTTGTTTCCACTAATGCCTTGTATTTCTATATCATTTTTGCTTTGGGCAATGTTCCTAACTACTGAAGTTTCCTGAACTAGAGATACTTGTGCCCCTGTATCTACTAGCGTTATACCATTGCCTCCTCTCAGTTGTGGACATACGACATAAATTTCATATGGCCCCAAAATGTGTTCAAAGGCGTCCCTTTGATTTCCAAGTTTTAAAGAATTCATGTCTTCATGTCACCTTTTAATGGCTCCGTGCCATTACCAATTTTCGATGAGCCCATACCATCGCCCAATGTGCAGCCTAAAACTTGAGCTGTCTGCGACTGCCCAGGCAGCTATACTGCATTAACGTGTTTCATGCCCCCGTCTTTTGCACCTACCACATTGTGGAACATTGTTACAGTTCTTTGTAATGTGTCCTTGGCCTTGGCAACGATAACACTGAGTATCAGTTGCAAGGTTTATTTCCCTTTTAATTTGAGGTCCCTGTGACCCCCTAAAGTCCCTCTTTACACTTCCTGATGGTGCATACCATTGTCCCCCTTGGTTTCCCTTAAACTTTTGCGATTAACAAATAATCCACCTAGGGAACATTAATATAATTGTAAAACGTTGAAGAAATACAAAAAACAGATAACCAAGCTAGGTCATCTATCAAGACAACCTATCTAGATCTTTTCCCTTATTGAGAACGTGCCCTCAAGGGAGACAATGTTTATGCTAAATACGTCCAAAGATTTGCAAGCGTCATTTGCAGCGATGACGCACCTGGCTGAAGGACTATGTCTTAGTGCACTGCTCACACTAAAAGTCGAAAATTATCTTATATGCCTCGCCGGCACACGTAACCCAACAGCGTCCATAATGGAATTGCAATTTATTTTGCCCTTAAAGACATTAACAAGAAATAACGCATCGCGATGTCGTCGTCTGGAATAAAGTGTTCTAAACTTTAAAGTAGATAAGATCAATTCATATTTGCGTGTAATATTAAACTGAAAAAATCGGTAATTGCACAAACTGGCAAATGTTCTTTGAATATTTTCCAATTTATTAATTTCTATTGGCTTACAAAAAATTCCAAACACAAATTCCAAAAGCGTTTTCAACCATACGCCTTGCTCTAGATAATCTATAGTTGTACATTCTTTTTGGAGATCCTCTATTTAAATCTGTGGTGTATGGTTTCATAACATGAGTTGCCACTCCTCCTCGCATGTGGGTAAAAATTACTACTCCTTTTCACGATTTCTTTCAGTCTGTAACACCTGGTACTGCGTGGCCCAATTTTCTGGTTTATTCCCATAAACCAAACTGACAAACTCAAGCAGTGAACGTCGAGATACCTCTTCTTCAGCTCGAATCTGTCTGTGTAAGATTATTCCATACGACCGAGGAATACTCAAGCTTTGACCTAATTAAAGCATTATATAAAACAACAAGGCTATCGAAGAAAATCAGGCTGTTTACCTATTATAGTAAGTTATGTGGGGAGTTCCGCGGATTGAGCCCTCATCGACGGAGCGGTTGAAGATCCTTGGCCTGATTTACTTTCCGCAACGTGTAAAGGAGCACAGGGAGTACTGCTACTCAACTGCTCCTTCAAATATTCGTTATCTTTGCGCAGCCGCTGCACATCCTCAGAAAGTTTGAGGACCAACTGCACCAAGTTTTCTACAAGATTGTGAGTGCTAGTTCCATTGAGCCTCACCATCACCATCTCCAGCTTACCAGCGAGAGTCATAATCCCCAACGTCTGGCAGAATAGGTTCCTTTACAGGAGACACTCCGAGGCAGAGGCAGGAGCTCTGTACAGGTTTAATATAACTAAGATAGCTGTTTTTGTCTCTAGCTGAATTGCACAAATTTATGAATCCTGTTCTTCACAGTGTTGTGAAATATGTGTTTTAACACTTCACTTTTATTTCTTAGTCCTCTGATGTTCTGATGAAAGATATTTAATGAATATACAGGGTTTACATTTTTACGGTGAACTTTAGGACCAAGGAAATCGCATTCAATATATTTGAAGCACCTCTGTGCTTTTGACTTCAAACTAAAAAAGGCGATGGTCTGGCATGGCTAATAACAGGAATACTAACACTTGATACATGACTACCATATACTCTTCCAGCAATCAGATGCGTCAGCCTATTTTCCCTAAAGGATTTAGGTGTAGGCCATGTGTTGCGTAATCGTCTCTGAAAACAGAAGCTGTGTCAGTGACATCAATGTGCGCCGTGTCGAGCCCCATCCAGGCCCGATCAAGCCGAAGATTCACTCTCCTAACTCTCTCGTTCATCCATGGCTTGCCCTACCTGCTAAAGAGGTTGACAAGTCTCACATTTGTGCTGGTTGTCCTCTCTGCAATGAGGTTGACATCCTTTTCTGCTGAGAAATAGTGATTTGTATCCAGGATGTTACCTGGCCCTCCCACTATAACAATATGAAGAAGCTTCAACAACAGTAATGACGAGACTGTTCGAGACCCAGGACGATCTCCGCCGTGTAGAATTTCACGTCTTCCTCGGCAAACTTCTCTCGCTGGTTGAGAAGTTCGCACAGGTCTCCAGCTTCCAGAAAGTCTGTAAACGCATTAACAACAACAGTAATGACGAGACCTCGTTATTTTGACGATCCTTACTCCTACTAGACGTCAGCGAAAATTTGTAAACATTCGATTTTTAGTTAATTTTTTCCCGAATTGTGCGCAATCTCTCCTAGCTTTACCTGAAATCCGACAAAAGTGTAATTGAAAGTGAAGCTGTGCATAAGACTGAAGGGTAACATAGTTTACCAAGAAGCAAGGAATTCTTCCCTAATTCGGCTGTGATTCCTCATTCTCTTCTGAACATAGCTACACACGTTACTTCGTTGCTATTCGGGACCCACACACGCAGTCACGAGGCTGTCCCGAACATGAGGGTAGTTCTTCATGTACTCACCCATTACCAGGTGCAGATCGGAATCCGTCTGGAAGGTGTAGTGTGACTTCACCAAGAACGGGCTGTCACCTACTTCTGCTGACACTCGGCACTCCGTCATTGTGTGCTGGCACGTCTTCCTATCATGTGGTTGGAACTGCTTACATGACCCAAAGTCTGCAAGGCCGATATGACCGACAGAATCGAGCAGGATGTTATTCGACTTTATGTCAGATGCGCGATTCCCATCTGAAAGAAACAAAATAAATTCCTTGCACTGTGGTCATGAAAGATGAGACATGCTTTTTGTTTTTCCATCTTACTGTGGCAGTGAGATACACATCCACTAATTTGCTTTTCTACTTCATATAACTGATGATCTCCATCTTCAGGGTCTTCATCGCGTAGAGTCGTCCCTGATCGAAGCCTCTACTCTTCTTAACTAAGCGAACCTTCCCGAAACCTGTAACACGTAATTTATGTTACTAATCGATGTCTGATCAACAAACGGTTCTCATGTCAGAAGCAATTCTTTCATACAGATTAGGATTCCGTATGAATTGTGTTGTATCCCTTATCCCAAGGTTCGCGGGCACCGAGCGGGTTTGCCACAGGCTGGGTGGGGCGTAGAAGTCTTTGCTGTGATGGGGTTCGTTGTAAAACCCCAACAGACTAACAGCTTTCTTGCGGTTAATGAAGAATACTTTATTTGCTGAAGATGATGGATGTACGCTTTCTATGTTGTGGATCCTGGAGACAATCAGCTGGTCGGAGCTTGACGTGAAGAAGTTGATGTCACGTTGAATTAGAATAAAGTTCCTCCGAGGCCCCCAATGTGACCCAAGGGTAGGTTAGGTTAGTATGTATAGAATGTTTGAACTTCATAGCATGCACATAACGCTTGATTGTATTGTGAATGTGCGTATTTTTCTGTGTGAGCATTTTTCCGTGGGTATTTTTATTGTGATCATTTATGACAGCGGGACTTTTTTCTGTGCGGAATTTTCGTGTGCGCTTTTGTCATGGTCGCATCGTAGTCGTATACCCGATCGAACGAGACCAAATTTATTTCAATCGTGTTATTAATCACGAAGTTATAGTGTCGGAATGGATCACGCCGTTTCCGTCCTGGTACCCCATATGTCGGTCTGATTTTAAATACGTATTCACGTCAAAACAACAAAAGGGCATCTTCCAGGTCCCGCAGTGTGGTAGGTGCGTTTGGATGTTCTCTGACGCGGCTTCCCAGCACATCCCACGCATGCTCAGTAGGGTTCATGTCTGGGCTGCGAGCTGGTCATGGCAAAATGGCGATGTTGTGCTCTTGGGGGTACTCCCTGACGATTCCTGCAACGTGAGGGCGGTCATTGTCATGCAGTAGGAAAATATTTTCTCAAAGTGCCAGTGCTCGAGGACACACATGAGGTTCCAGCACCTCGTCAATGTAACGCAGCGCAGTCATAGAGCCGTTTCTGATGACGAAGTCGGTTTTGTGGTCAGTCGAAATACCGGCCCACACCATTATGGAGCCACCACCAAAACTGACATTATCCTGGACTGTGACTGGTATAAAACGCTCTCCTGGCCGTCGCCAAACTCGTACGCGTCCATTGTTGCCCTGCAGCGTAAATCTAGACTCGTCGGTGAACAGGACTTGCGCCAATGACGCAATTGTCAATGTTGATGTTCTTGGGCAAACTGTTTTCGCTCTCGATTGTGCTCCCTCGTCAATTGGGGCACCTTAGCGGGACGCCTGGACCTCAGATCCACCTCTCGAAGACGGTTCCTTACTGTTTCGTCAGACACTTGTCGACCTGTAGCTCGGGATAGATCATTTTGCAAGGCCCGTGCAGTATCTGTGCGGTGCCTCAAGGCTTGTAGACGCAGAAGACGATCATTCCTAGCAGTTGATGCCCTGTGACGACCCTGTTCTCGACGTTGAATGACCCTTCCAGTGTCTTGAGCGGTATGCTTGTACAAATTTATTGTACAAGCATACCTGAGGGCCATATAGCCTCCACGCGGGACGAATATACTTGAACAGTGCCAGTGTATGCTTGAACCATCGTCGACGGACGACGACGACGCGCTCGCTTTAGTTCTCAGGAAAAAAAACGACGAAAAATACGTAGCTTGTGGTGTAAAGACTGGCTAAAGAAAATGTAAAGCTATTCACACACTAATCTATTAAATGAATTGATAATTTACCCTCGTGATTGGCATAATTACTTACGAATGGATGAAGAAACGTACTTGAAACTTTTATCACTCGTCACCCCTTTGATTAAAAGGAAGGATACAGTCATGAGAGAGTCTATAACCCCACATGAAAGATTAACAGCAACCTTACGATTTCTTGCGACGGGAAGAAGCTATGAAGATGTGAAATTTTCAACTATAATTTCACCACAAGCATTAAGTTACATAATTCCTGAAACATGCCGTGCAATATATGACGTGCTGAAACCAAATTATTTGAAGGTAAGCAATAAAACATTGTGTATACTCCAAATTTTTATTCTAATAAATACTTATTAGATAATAGTAAATTAAAAAATAAGTTAACAATCGTTGTGGTTAGAAATAAACGAGGCAAGATAATGATTAGAGTCTTCGGTAGCACTGTAATTATTTTCAACATCACTCGTTGCTTCATAATATCTCTCCCTAGGGATATGGAGTGGTGGCGAAACTGTGATGGTATCTTGAGATCTGAGAGCTTGAACAGGAGGAGGGACCGAATTTATAAAATTGGGGTTAGAATATTGAGGCGTATTAAATGTAGAAGATGCATTAATACAATGTGACAGGGTGAGCTGAACCATTTCGGCCAGAAACAATGCCTCATTTATTATCTTTTCTGCCAACAATCTTTGAGTATTATTCGTTAAGTCTCGCAATTTCATCGATACATTTTTTCCAAAAATATCATATCGATCATCTTTCAATGTAGGTTTCTTAAAATGATCTTCTATAGTTTGTAAAACACTGTCACATTTATCTGATGCCATTCGTTTAGGGGGTCTTGCTTGAGTTTTTTAATTATTATCGAATCGAATCTTGTCCAGGTGAATTAGATATTCCAAGTGCTGTTGGCTGGATTGTTTGAGATTTTTCAACAGATTGCTCCAAATCTGGATGAGGGTCTTCAACTGAGTGCTCCTCAGCTTCTTCCTTAAAAAAACTGATGCTTTTTTTCTAGTTCCCGAAAACAAGATGATTGGAAGATTATAGCAAATGATTTTTAAAAGAGGTGGAATTTTCCTCATTGTGTTGGTGCTCTAGACCAGTGGTGTTCAACCATTTTTTGTTCGCGTACCCCCAGATATAATTTCTCTTCCAACTTTGTACCCCCAAAGTTGTTGGTGTATAATTCGAGTTATACATAGTATATAATCTACATCTAAAATAAATTAAATAAATTACATTACTGATTATTCAGTGTTTATCATAAAATATTTTTTTTAAATTTCACGTACCCCTTAAGATGTCTTCGCGTACCCCTGGGGTACGCGTACCCCAGCTTGGACATCACTGCTCTAGACGGTAAACACATTGAAATCATACCTTCACCAGGAAGCGGTTCATATTTCTACAATTATAAGCAAAAACCCAGTATGGTCCTACTTGCTATTGCGGATGCAAAATATCGGTTTGTACTATGTGATTTTGGTACTAATGGGAGGGTTTCCGACGGTGGTGTTCTTCAAAAACTACAGAACAACTTATTAAACATTCCCAGAGAATCTGAAGTGAGAAATGGTTTAAGAAAACTGCCGTATGTTTTCGTAGCAGATGCTGCCTCTCCGTTAAGAACCGACATGTTGAAGAAACCAGACAGGCAGAGTGATTTAGACTGCATCGAGAAAAAAATTTACAGCTACCGAATGTCTAGAGCTCGGCGCATTGTTGAAAATGTATTTGGGATTCTGACAGCACGTTTTAGAATTTTTCATACAGCTATAAATGTAGCATTGGAACATATCGATTCTATAGTAAAAGCAAGTTGTGTTTTACATAATTTTTTAATATCAACATTGGGTCATGTCTACGCTCCGCAAGAATCTTTGGATTTTGAAGATATCGTAAATGGCACTATCAGGACGGGTTTTACATCGGAGGATTCGAATATGGAGCCTTTACAGAGATCCCGTGTAGGAAATGCATCGTTAAATGCGAAACAAGTAAGGGGAGAATTTATGAACTACTTTGTAAATGAAGAGCCAGTGACCTGGCAACACAGCTTTATAAAACAAAATTAAAAACAATAACATTATTAATAATATTTACATCACTTTCATTTAAATTGGAAGATGAGCTTCTAGGAATATCCTGGTCTCCTAAAAAATCATATAAATGGTAGTACCATAGGGTGGGTTCATAAATTTGTTCCGCACCCCACCCTGTGCGCTGAGATTCTTGAATTCTTTTCTTTTCTGTGATTTGTTCTCAAACCACTTTATAGCGATCGGCGCTTGGATCTATTTCCTTCAATTTTTCCACTAATCTCTTGTATGCATCATCTCTTTTCCCCTTGTCATGGTAATCCTTTGATTTGATACGCCACAGACATGGCTCGCCTTGGTAAATGCGAATAAATTCTTAGACTACCTCGCGATTCCCTTTTCGAAGATCGCTAGACATTACGCGAAATTGTTAACAACGCCGAGCGTTCGTTCGCGACTGATTCAGACTTGCACAAGTCTGTGCTTCTTCTACACACGCTCAACTATACTAGCGCAAACACAACATGTGCAAGTATACAGTATAGAAATTCAAACATTTTCATGTCGCTTGTACAGTCAAAATACTTGTGCAATATTATCATACACACGCTCATGTATGCTTGTACAATAAATGTGTACAAGCGTACCGCTCAAGTATGCAGTTACGTGTGTAGTCGCTGTCTGGCAACATACCGTTGTGTTCGGCCCTCTTGCAGCGTGACAGCTTGTGTTGCTTCTATTGTTGTCAAATGCCTCCTTTCACCTTGCCGAACTTGCACAAATAAAAATGATGAATACGGGGGAAAAAGTCTTTAATGGGCAACTGGTTTGTCGAAACTTTACGTTTTAGGCCGAACAGAGCTCTTTACATGTTCAAAATGTTTTCCTCGTCACGTTAAACATTTATCAAAATTTCAAACCATAGCAACTTCATAACGTTCTTAGTAGTCAATAGGGCCTCCTGCTGCCTTCAAACACAATCTCACTCGTTTGGGCATACTCGTTATGAGATTTTGACACTCGCGTTGGTTGATGCTGTTCCAGATGTCAGATATTACCTCGTGAAGTTCTTCGCGACTCTTCAGTTTGCAGGCAGCAACTCTTGCGCCAATTGTATTCCACAGATTCTCTATCAGTTTTTCTTCTGGCTACACCATATTTTCCTGTTTTTGCGGGAGATTGGTGTCAACAATAGCTTTCTGAAGGGCACATAAGAACACAAGCCTTTCCCAAGATCATCACTGCTTGGCCCCCTCCTTGAACAGCCGATGACAAACAAGCGGGAAGGAACCTCTCTGTCTTTGTTCGCCGTACTCGAGCCTTACGGTTAGGGAAGAGTTGGAATCGGGACTCATCACTGAATACTACCTTGTTCCACCTTTCCATTCCCCAGTTTTTCTTCTGGCGACACCATATTTTCCTGCGGGAGGTTGGTGTCAGTGACGTTTTGAGGGGCACATAAGAACACAAGCCTTGCTGCCGCAGGCGGCGCGAAACATTCATGGGAGATATTCTCTTACCAGTCCTCTCTTGGAATTCCCTTCGAATGGTAAGAAGAGATGCCTGCCGGTTTCTTGGAAATGCCAGCTATTGTCCGGTCCTCGCGAGGTGATATAACCTTGGGCCGACCGCTGTGCTGCTCGTCTCGAACCGTGTCCGTCTTCCCGTGTTTGGCAGTTTTGCTGACACCTAACTCTCGTGCTATTTCTCGGTGGGACCCACTACACCTATGCATACCAACAATTTGCCATTTTAGTTCACTTTTCCCCCCATTTTCGTTGTCACAGGTTTTGCTCAACAGCACTCTCAGAAAGCTACACTAGCTATGAAGACAGAGGCGGGTATAGTATACCGAGCTTCCGGCAAGTGTTACCTCTGTTAGTGAGATAATGTAGCTACAAACTGGCAACAGTCCAGCCTCGTTAGCTCATACACAGTTTGAGTAATTGTCCGTTAAATTATGGCACATTTCTCAAGTTCCAAAACTAATGAATGTGGTGAACAATCATAGGACAGTTGTTTTGTAGAGATCAATTTTATTTGTAAAGGTTCCTCACATCACAATGAAGTAAAATACCAAAAGTGATTAAAATATTCCTTATAGTTTAATGGCCATGTGTAGCCGAAAATTAAAATATTATGAAATTTTTCTATACTTTGAAATGTTGAAAATATTCATAACTTCTGAATGGTATGACATATTTTCCTGATCTTTTTTGTAAATGATAGCTGTAAACTAGTGCAAAAAATGGAAACTTTCAACCAAAAGTGACCTGTGAAAGGTTTACTAAAATAGCATGGTGGTCTTAAATTTTTGGTTGACACTGTATTGTGCGCATAGAAGAACGACTTCTCTTACCAATGCAGCATGTGCTTCGGCAAAACTCGGCACAGCTTCGGGCTCGCATTCGTCTTCCTCACCGCTCCCACCCCTTTCGCGATCTTAACACAACTCATCAATGGTGTCGACTCTGCAAGTTGCAAGCTCGCTGTCTACTGCCGCGTAATCACAAGTTCAATCACGTCTTTCATGACGCCGAATCGAATCCAATCTTCGTGAAAGCCATCATACTCATCCTCTTCGTCATCTACACTGACCTTAGAGTCTGCTTCTGCGCGAAGTTCACACCCGTAGCCACCTGTGCGAAAACAGTTCACAACAGTTGGTTGGGAGACTTGCAGCCAAGCTGCCACTGTGAAATGAATTGCTTGTAGCACGTCAATTTTCATGTTGACATCCTTCCCAGCATCCATTACACAGACAGCTGATTGCATAAGGCGCTTTCTATACAACTGCTTGAAAGACTTTATGATGCCCAAATCACGCGGTAGCAAGACGCTCGTGCAATTTGTTGGATACTACACGACTTTCACATTTCGTAGAAATGTCGTGTCCTTCGGATGAGCGACACAATTATCCACAAACAGCAAAATCTTTCTGCGTTGTGCGCCCATGGAGGCATCCAGAGAACTTAAAAATTTAAACATGTCTGTGGTCATCCATGCCCTTTTGTTGGCGTGATATTTCACGAGAAGTTTTATGTTCTTGAAACAACGTGGTTTCAGTGATTTTCGTGCTATAATCGGACCCTGTTTGTCACACTACCGTCATTCAGAACAACTTCCCGCGTTTGCCCTCTTGTCGAAGAATCCGATTTTGAATGTATCGGTGGCATAACTGACGTGACAAATATTAGTCCGCACACTTGACAGTAGTCTACTTGTTATTTGCTGCTGACTGTACCGTTAAGGACGAGGAGCTTATCGGACTGAAAGCTTACACAAAACAAATATACACTGACCTTGCCAGCTCAAGGACACTGCTCCGCTGCGCTGGGTTTGGCATCGGCCGAAAGCTACTGCGCCTGCTATGCCCGTCCCACTTGGCTCTCAAAATGTCTATGTTAAAGCGAATGTAACCAGCAACAGAAACCTTGCCAGCTCGGAAGTCACGCATGCGCAAAGTACGATTTGTATTCCATGCAGGTAATGAATTTGTATGTTAGTTACAGGTGCCGTGCAAAATGGACGTGGAAAAGTTGATTTGCGTTTTATTACGCAGTTTGCAAATGAGCAACTCGATTCCTACGGACATATTGTAATATGTTTGGAAGTGCCTGAGGTAAAGTTGTTAATCGGCTTCCTTGGATGTGATAAGTTGAAATAACCAGGTATTCCAATTGTAGAAGATAGTCAGTTCGTATTTTCTAATAAGAAGAGTTTTATTCAAAACTCAAGACAAAGAACAAAGGTGTATAGTAAAGTTGAACAGTAAAGTTACACGAAGTATATGCTATGACTTCAAGATCACCTGATGCTGTGCTCTGGGGTCATGAGCTTATATAGAACATCAAACGAGATGGGGTTTTTGGTGGGGTGAACAGTCAGGTCAAGAGGTTTAATGTCATTCTCCTCTGGAATGCGACCCCACTCATACACATGAGCGATATGTTACAGGGAATGGCGCCACAGATAATGTATCACCCCTAAAAACACAGCTGTAAGTTACATGGGCCAGACACACATTTGAAGGCGTCTCGTATTAAGTCTGCTTAGTCTCAATGTGTGGAACAAGAACCTATGTTACAATACATTCCGAAACCATCTCTGATAATCTTGGCGCTTTGAGTATTTCGGCCCGTATGCACGTACGAAAAAAAGTCTTTTGTACTTAACATTGCAGAATGAACGTTAGTACAAAATAAACGTAATTATACGTCAGCCTATCTCTTATGATAAACTTATATATATATATTACTGCACTTTGGCACTAAAACTATTTCAGCATACGTCAATGTAAGCACAAGTCGTTCTTCCTGCACGATGGGATTTGCATGACAGTTTTTCCATTTCTTCTGCATCTTTTCGCTTGTCACACTCAAAATATAATCAAACGTTTCGATTTCCATTTTTAAGTACTCGAAAAATCTACTTGGATAATTTCTTAACTTTTTCTAGAGATGGTGATATTCTCCAAAATTATTTGTGTCGACATTGACTGGATGCACTTGATACTCCCGCAGAGATAATTATTGTCGCAACAAGAACCATTTAGAAGCACAGCTATCCAGTAATTCCTCATCGTCACTGCCACTACTTGAATACATAGTTTTTACAGGCACGTCTAGTCGTCAACTACCAGTCTCTGAAATGGAATGATAAGCCTGAAACAAGAGTCACTCTGCACGCCCTCGGTTTCTGCTAGGCTACCTTCTAGGCTCCGAGAGAGAGAGAGAAAGAAATTGATGGGGGAAGAAGTAAGTGACACTTCGATATCAGGGGGGAGAAAGAGCATCTTATAGTTAGAAGGTCCCCAGGAAATGCCCTCTCGTCCTTCTGTTAAGGATAAAGTAAGAGTGAAGACGTTAGTGCGATAATTGGCAGAGAAGACGGAATTTTGAATTTTGTATTAGAGAAAGCTGAGGCTATTGATTTGGAAGTTTAGTACATAATTTAGAAGTTCCTGCT